CAGGGTCCTCTTTACATTCATCTGCAGGTGCTCCTTCTCTTTGTTGTCCTGGGGTTCAATGCCCTAACTCAGTTGGTCCCTTTTTTTTTTTTTTTTTTCTTCCGGCACTGGGGTATGAACTCAGAGCCTACAGCCTCAGCCACTTCACCAGCCCTTTTTTTGTGATGGGTATTTTCGAGATATGGTCTGGAGGAACTGTTTGCCTGAGCTGTCTTCAAACCACGATCCTCCTGATCTCTACCTCCTGAGTAGCTAGGATTAGAGGCATGTGCCACTGGCGCCGGGCAGTTGGTTTCTCTTGTTGAGACTTTATCACTGGGCTTCCGGATAACCACAGGTTCTGGAAGGGACTGGAAGATTCTTGATCATCTCCTCTCTAGACCTTGATCATACTCAAGCACTTTTATAGTTGAATCTACTAACAAATGTGTAAATTACTGTTGTGTAGAGAAAAAGTTTAAGATTATTTTTCTTCCTGGGTCTACATTGAAATGTAAGACTATTAGAGTATTTTATTTTATTGAGAAAATAAGCAATTTTGTTTAAATTCAAACTTCTGTAAAAATTATTTGAAAGTGCAAATTAGAAAGGTCTTAAAGCTTATCAGTTTATGTATATAATTAAATCTGCTATAATTTAAAATTGTCTTAAGAATTTTCTAAGGTCAAAATTTAATATACTGATATAAAACTAAAAATTATTTATGTATATAAGGTTGTCTTAATATTGTTCTGTTCTTAGCAACTTTTGTAAAACTGGCTTAAAAGAAAGATTTTGTTAAGTTTTTGACTACTTGGAAAACTAAACCTTAACTGAATCACAGTTCATTTAAATGTCTGCTCATATGAAAGTCTCTTAAATTACCACCTTAGAACTGTGTGGTAAAACAACTATTATTTTAAGTAATTCTAACACAATTAGTGCACTATATATCTGTGACAAAAGTATGTAGAGTTGTGTTTCTAGATTTTATCTAAATATTGTACAAACATTTGCAGAGCTAAAAGTGTGCCAGTTTAATATTTGTACAATGACCAGCTAAAGCTCTCTTTTATCCAAATGCATCACATCTAAACCTGGTCAATGAAACTTTTGGCATTTCTGCTGCTTGTAATCAGTAACATTCAAAAAAAAATTCTGCCATTTGGGCAATCTTACTATTTAAAATCTAGCCTACAATTATTTGTCTTAACCAAATGAGTGTTACTATCTATATATATGAGATGGACATTAGAAAATGAGACTATTTCAGATCACTACCACTATCCCCCTAACTTGTAAGAGACTATTTAACTATGTATGTCTTTTGTCCCTTACACCCAGTTATTTTGTCTACTTAAACCTATAGCTCATGCTTTTACCCTGAAGATGGCTGAAAATGGACTGAGTGGTTATTCTGCCTCTTCCCACGACATGTCCCGAGCCGTGTAATAAATCTCCTTTTTCTGCCTCCACCATGCCTCTTTATTTGGCATTTAGGGATAAGTGACCAGACCTGGCATGTGGAATTTCAGGAGTCTGGCCTTGGGTCCAAAACTACCGTTTCACTCAGTCTTCCAGCAATGCTTGAATCCTACAGACACATGGCAAAGGCTCTAGCTGGGGCACCTTCCTGCTGCAGAAGTCACTGATTGTAGTTCTCCAGAGGGTCCTTGTGAAGTAGTTTCACTGTGCACTGATACTTGACTTGTCTGAGTCTGGTGAAAAAAAAGACCCCCCCCACTCCAACACACACACATAAGTTACATGAATCAGGTAAATTCCAGGTAGGTGGTAGGGAACAAGAGAAGCCCAGGATTCATTATAAACCAGTCTTCCAAGTGGAGTCTTGACTGCAAGTGTCCCACTTACACTGCAGCTTAGGGACCCTGGAAAATAGCCTGCCTTATGGTTTTAGACCCCAGAAGTAACATGACAAACCAAGCTAAGGCACTGAAGGGCACCTTGCTTTTAGGGGAGGCTGAACCAGAGCCCAGGCTGTTCCAGCCTAGGACATGCTTTCCAAAGCTCTTAAATATCTCATCTCCTTCCTGCAAATATCACTAGAATACAGTTCTAAATTTTAGTGAGTTTTCCTCCTTGTCTTGTGAGGCTTTTTTTTTCCCCTTAAATCACCAAATAGTATTCCAGTGCACAGATATTTTTATTTAGTTCTACTCTTAAGACACAGGCATGACTCCCTGGAGGGCTGAGCTGCAGAGCAATCTAAATGACAGAGACCATCTCTTCTTCCTTCTGACAGTGCCATCCTTGAACCAAGCTTTCTTAGGGACTGAACGCTAGTGGTAACTCTCCTCTCCCTCTCTCCTCTCCTCCCTTCTCCTCTCTCCATTAAGCAACAGTTTCCCTCCATTTCTATACGCTAACCCTTATGAAGCACAAACTTATATACTAAGTACTCTTTAGGCAGTATCTCATTTAAACTTGATCTCTTGCTACTTCCTCCTTCATACTCCAGCCTAGCGTATCCTCACAGCCCTGGGCTTTCTCTCTGGACCTTTGGAATATATAGTGCCTCTCCTTTTTTCCTCCTTCTCTTCACCTTGAACTCCTACTCATCCTCCAGGTTTCTGCTAAGATGATACTTTCTCCAGGAGCCTTTCCTCAGGTCTCAGTTGAGGCTCCTGTCCTATGTCCCTAGAGACCCCTCTCTTCTATCACCACTGTACTTTTATACACATTTTAATTTTCTGTTGTCTCTTCTGGTCCTTTTTTTTTTTTTTTTTTTTTGGTGGGACTGAAGTTTGAATTTGGTGCTTTGCACTTGCAAAGCAGGCATTCTACTGCTTGAGCCACACCTCTGATCCATTTTGCTCTGGTTGCTTTGGAGATGGGGGTCTCTCAAACTACTTGCTCAACCTGGCCTTGAACCTTGATCCTCCTGAGCTCAGCCTCCCAAGTCACAAGCATTACAAGCATTAGCCACCTGCACTCGACTTATTTTGGCCCTTCTTCTAGCCTATTTAAGAGCAAAGACTGTCTTCACTATTGTTTCACCAAAGCTAACAGGGTTAGCTCAAGATGTCACATTGAAGAAATTGTCTCTGAAAATAGGAAAAGATTGATTTATTTGATGTGAAATATTCAATCACAAGTAATTAACTGGGTTTATTTTGCTCTCATTCTTTGAAACAATGTCTAAAGTCCATTAATGACAATGTATATTTTAATGAGTTTTAAATTTCTTATCAGAGTCCAAAACACCAGTTTTTTTTACATAGCTCTTGCTAGTAATTATCAGCAGAGCAATAAACAAAATACATTTACATTACCTAATCCTCAAGTGACTTCTGATAAAGGGGAAAGGGTTTCGCCCACAGGATGGATTTTAAAGCAATCTCTTGAAACAGCCCAGTGACTGAAAAATAATTTTAATTTACCCTAAATTTTTCCTGGTCAGGCATCAGCACGGGAAAGAGGAAAGAATTTCCTTTCTCTACGTGATTTCTGTTTTGTGAAAGAATCAATTTTCTTTTCTACTGGCACCACAAAATCTTGGCGTTAAAAAGGGAGTTTCCATTAGGTTTTAAAAGGCCAAGTTGGGTTTGGGGAGGAAAACTATCAGGAAGACATTATTCCCCTCATTTTTCTTCCTCTCTCCCTCCTCCAGCCCTGTGGTCTTGTCAACAGAGCCAGGTGGAGGCAAACCTGAGGAGGGACAGTGCTGAGGCACTGGGAGACTCTACACTAAGCCATGACATCATTTCACTAGCACAAAGCTTTGCTAGGTGCAAGGACAGAACAGACATCTCTCCAACTGCACCCCAAGAGAGTGAGCTGTTGAGTGGGGTGTGGTGGACTCTTAGATGCTGGCTGTTGAAACCAGCTTTTTCACCTTCAAGCTACTTATGAACACTTCCCATGTGCTAGGCTGTGCGAGAGGGTTCATGCTTCCTAAAACATATCGAAATTGAGTCACAAGACCCACTACTCTATGAGGTAGCGTGCAGTGCACATAGAAAATAACTGTTAAACTGGGGAGGGAGGGGGTAAGAAACAGTAACAGGGTGAATTTGATCAAAGTATATTATATGCATGTATGGCTATATCACAGTGAAACCACTTCGCAAATACTAAAAACACTAACAAAAAATAATTTTTATACTATTACATAGAAATAGTTCATACCAAAGATTATAGAGGCATTAGGAACTTGGAGGACTTCATTTCTAAGAACCACCACTTAAATTCTGGAAACAGAGAGTGGTGATGGTTGAACAAGTCTGAATGTAATTGTCATGGAATTATACACTTAAAATGGTTAAAATTTATATGTATACATTTATAAGTTGTACATAAATATATTTATAAAATGTATATGTTAATATTTATATAAAATTTATGTCTATATTTTACCGCACTTACAAAGAAGTTTTTAGGCAGGTGAAGAAAACAAAGACTCAAAGACCCTGCTGCACAGGTCAACCCCGCACCGCGTTCCCTGCGGGGTACCTCCCCTCTTCTCAATCTCACTCGCCCCATTAGTAAAAACGAAGTGACCTTTACAGCTCTTTCTAGTTCGACGTATTAGTCTTACAAGTACAAAAAGAAAAGTAGAAAGCCCGGTTTCAAAGCCACGGTGGAGACACTACCGCGCGCTCTTACCCTCACCTCCGCGCCCGGAGGTCCGGGTCTCCCTGCGCACGCGGACAGGAGCAGTGCGCGTGCGTAGTGGGTTCAAAGCGCGTGTCCCTCGACGCCGACTCCGCCCACCGCCGGCAGCCCCGCCCACCGCCGGCAGCCCGCCGCTCTGGTGGAGGCGGTGGCGGGGCCCATGTGTCTGTTGCGGCTGGGTGGACTGCTGACCCCTCAGCCCGCGCCCCTCACCGCACGGTGCTTCCCTCCTCCCCGGCTCGGGTCCCATCACCCCGGCGCCGAGCCGGGAAGGAGGGAGGAGCCCTCGGGCGCCACGTGGGGCCGCGCTCGCCGGAGCGGCCCGCCCCGAGGGGCGTGAGGGGAGGCGGGGCTGCGGACTTCGGACTCTGTCCGCTAGCGGCCTCCAGTCGCGCTGGAGTCGGCGGTGGGTCTGGTGCGGAGGGAGCCATGTCGGAGCTGCCGGGGCTCCGGTCCGAGGTGCTGGACACCTGCACCTCGCTGGCGCTGATGCTGACGGTCGTGCTGTGCATGGGGCTGGCCCGCGTGGTTGCCCGGCAACAGCTGCACAGGCCCGTGGCCCACGCCTTCGTCTTGGAGTTTCTAGCCACATTCCAGCTCTGCTGCTGCACGCATGAGCTGCAACTGCTGAGCCATCAGGACCCGGCACACCCCACCTGGACGCTGACACTGATCTACTTCTTTTCCTTAGTGCACGGCCTGACTTTGGTGGGTACCTCCAGTAACCCGTGTGGCGTGATGATGCAGATGATGCTAGGGGGCATGGCTCCCGAGATGGGAGCGATGAGGCTGTTGGCTCAGCTGGTTAGCGCCCTGTTCAGCAGATACTGCATCCGCGCCCTCTGGAGCCTGGGTCTGACCAAGTACCACTTCAGCGAGAGGAGCTTAGCTTGCAAGAATCCCATCCACACCGACTTGTCCAAAGCGATCATTACCGAGGCCATCTGCTCCTTCGTCTTCCACAGCGCTCTGCTGCACTCCCAGGAGGTCCGAAGCAAGCTTCGCATCCACCTGCTGGCTGCACTCATCACCTTTTTGGCCTATGCAGGTTTGTCATTTCCACAAAACACTTGGCGGGTCAGAACCCCCACACTAATGTGAAGTGAATATTGGTACCCCACCTCCTGCACTGTTATTCCAATCATTTTGCAGCCCCTTCTTAACCTGTAGGGCCGACGTGTAGAGATCCTTCATTCACTGCTGTTATGAACACCCACTTCTACAGAAACTGAGAACCTCATAGAGCTTGCCAAGGGTTCAGATATCCCACCAAGGGATTGTCTTAGTGTTAGGGAGGAAGGACACCCTATCAGTTACTCCCCCCCCCCTTTTTTTTTTCCTGCCAACATGGTATAGATCGTTTCTGACACTCTCACTGAAAAATTATCCCGGCTCTAAAAAGTTCCTTTCACAAGGCACACGATTGGCTAGTAGTAAAGAATGGGAGTAGAAATTCGTTAGTTTCATTTCCTGGTCTTTTCCTGTAAATTACTTAAGTCATTTCTTGCTTCCTTAACAATGCATCTTGAATTATAAATGAACTTTTAAATAGCCTGTCAAGAAAGATGGGGTTTTTAAAATGAAAACTTGTTTGGAATTAAAAATGCTTTTCAAAAATAAATAACATAAGAAATACGTTATTTATTTTAAACCATTTATTTACCTTGACAAACTTTAGATCAGGCAGATATTCTAAAGAGGACAAGGAAATTTAAAATGAAATGTTTAATGATGAAATGTATCATTCAAAGTGATTACAGCAGAATACCTTTACTGGGACTGTATCTGAATTATAAAATATTTTGGAGGTATGAATATGACAAAGGAAATTTAGAATAATAGTCTGTCTTCTGTCCACTTAATAGTGAAAATTATGAGTAGAAGCAAACCTTAAGATAGGACTTATAAATATATTTCTAACCTCCTAGTGTAAAAGTGAAAGACTTCCCCAACCCATTTTTCCTTGAGTTCGAGTGCCACTTTTTCAGTAGACACATGAAAATAAATAAATACATTGTGTGGGGGTGAGGGAAAGGCATATGCATATTTGAGGAGCTGGTGAGTAGTTGCTTATTTATTACAGTTTTAGGTTTTGGCTAAAACAGAAACATCGCTGTATATGGACAGAACTGCCCCTGGTAAAAACAATTATGCCATAGTTAAGTTCTGTATTTGTACAATTGAAAGCAGTAAAAATTTAAGATCTTTTAAAATTAATAAAACATTAACTACAGTTGGATCCTTGCCTATGTCACTCTTCCTGCTAATATTGTGAAGTTGGCATTCTGTCTTTTTATACTTTGGATGCATAGTTACGATTCCATAACTAATACTACATAAAATATTAGCCATTCCCTGGCTGGAAATGCAGCTCACTTGCTTGGCTTGCTCAAAGCCTTGAGTTCAATCACTAGCACCTAAAAAAGTCTTTGTTTTATAAGTGACAGAGATTTTAAGAGAAAAAAAACAAGGTAACATTTGAAGTCATAGATAAATACAAGGAAAGTTGAACAGAATCTTTAAAATATCAATTAAGGGATCTAAAACGCTGCCTTTTTTTTGAAATGTGGGTTCTAATTAATGGAGGAAAGGAATTGAGTAAATGAATCACTAGAGTGGTGGTTCTCAACATTTTCTGCATTACAATCACTTGGGGAGCTTTAAAAATATACCCTTCCAGGGCACAGAGATTAAAATTTAATAGCTGTGGGAAAGAGGCGAGGCAGTGATCCTTTTATGAAACCAAGGGTGGAGAACCCACTGCTCCAGCTAGGAGTCTAGACTGGTGTTGCGCAATTCAGTAGCCACGTTGCTATTTACATTTAAATGAGCTACTTGCTGGAGCCTCATTTCTTGTGTTCAGTAGGCACATAGGACTGAGCTAGTGGCTATGGTACTGACTGGGCTAAGCTGGAGACTGCCAGGGTAGACAGATATGACTCACTACCACTAGTCACAGAAATTCAGAATCTATTATGGTAATCCTTTTTATTTCCTTTTCTGCCAGTATCAGAGAGATGAGATATTCACTGGGCACCTTTTATAGGCCAAAGCATTTGTGTGTGTGTGTATTTTTTGAGACAGGGTGTTGCTATGTAGCCCAGGCTGTCCTTGAGTTCATTGTGATTGATCCTCCTGCCTTGGCCTCCAGAGTGCTAGGACTAAAGCTATGCACTCCCGTGCTCAATTTAGAACAAAGCATTTTGCTAGGCAATTTATGTGAGTTAGTTTAGTTAACCCTTATACCATTCCACTGATGAGAACATCATTCTCATTTTAATAAAGCAAGCAAGGCTCAGAGGTGAAATGACTTGTCTCAGGTTACACAGCCAGATCGTGCTGCAACTGTGGCCCAGTTGACCTCAAGTCAGCTCAACACCCATTTCATTATCAGCGTTTGTACTGTGTGCTCCTTAAGTTACAAAAGCATATACACTTGGATGCTATTTAGTAATAAAAAGGAGTGAAGTTCTGACACATGCTACAACAACAATGAACTTTGAAACACTGTGCTAAGCAATATAAGTCAGACACAAAAGGGTAAGTATGGTTTGACTCCACTTACATGAAATATCTAAAACAGGCAAATTCATAGTAGAATAGAGGTTACAGGGACTGGGGAGCAGGAAGTAATGGGGGATTATTGTTTAATAAGTACAGAATTTGTGTTTGGAGTGATGGAAACTTAGAAAATGTTTGGGAAATGATGGTGTTGGTGTCCAACAGTGAAAGTAAAGAACACCATGTGGAATATTTTGTGTTATGTTTTACTACAGTTAAGACATTTAATTATAGAAGGATTCTGTTGCTCAATAAGCCACTGGATTAAACAGATTTAAAATTCTAGAATCTCACAGTCTTTACCATGCCAGTATATTATGTGAACCTCCAAGAGAAGCATGTGGCAGTGTTTGGAACTTCTGAGATCCTTTTGTGTAGGGGTGTGTAGCAGAAAAGAAGCTACTTTAGGAAATGCCACACAAGCTGTATCACTCCCATATATTCTGTGCTTGCACATCATACCTCTGTTCTACACAGTCAAGTCTCATGACTAGTTGAGTGTCTGTGCTATCAGACAAAGGCAAAGCTTTTGTAGGAAGATTTAAGAATGAACAGGGAGGGAAAGGCAGGGAATGAACAGGCAAGGACAGATAGCGTTGCAAGTTACTCCTTGGATACTGTGAGTACAGATTTGACAAAATTGCAGGCTGGGCAATTGCTTTATCACTTGGGCTCTGAGGGCACATAGGAGCCACCAATATAAATCATATCAAAATAACCAAGTATGTATTTTAAGATTCAGAATGTAATTGTCCAGCAGCTAACCACAGGTCCTAGGACCTGTGCATTAGTGATGTAGCACCCCAAATTTTTTTGTGGTGCTGGGGATTGAACCAAGGACCTAATACCTGTTAAGCACATGTTTTGCTGAGCCAGCTCAGCACCCTGGATTTTTATGTGCAGGTGGAGGCCACTGATGTCGTCAGCATTCATGTATTTTTTTTGGCTTCCCTTATAAAGTAAAAGAAAAATGCTGTGACTTAACATGTCAGAGCTGTAAATTTTTCTCTTTTTTTTTTTTTTTGAGATGGGGGTCTTGCTGTTTTGTCCACACTGGTCTCAAATTTGTAAACTCAGTAATCCTTCCACCTCAGCTTCCTGAGTAGCCTGGACTACAGGCAGGTACTACCACAGCTGGCTCTTAGAGCTGTAAAGTATTAATGCAATTTCAAGCAAGTTTCCTTAATTTGGGTTTTGGGAGAATTTAGTTCAGTGAACAACGTAAGAGAGAGATGCATTGATTTTTTTGTGTGTGAATAATTAGATATTGAAAAATGTTACTTTACACATGTAAGTTGCCTTTATTACTGCACCTTGTTTGTAGAATTTTAAATTATATACTGCTTTCTCATATAATGTTCATGTACCTCTCTCAGAAGATAGACTTCGAGTGCAGAGACTACATTTCTTTTATTCATCATAACGTATGACCTGGTACATACGTTATAGCATAGGCCTGGTACAAAGCAAACTGTAAGAATTTTTTGAGTATGTGGATAAACTATCAAATAGTTTGCACACACACACAAACAACACAGAAAGATAAAATACTACCTGGGTATTCCATATTTTGTGTCCAAGGGCTTCATACATAAGTCTAATAAATTGTCAAAAGAAACTGTAGCATTCTTACTTTATTCTGCTACTCCAGGATTTTTAGTGTCCTTCTAAACAATATATATATCTAAGATTATCATCTGTCAAAAGAGAAAGGAAGTGAGTCCTTCACATGTGTTCTCTTTTACTACAATAAGTATATGAAAGGGGTGCCATTATCAATTTACAAATAAAACCCAGCTTCAAACAAAGGTCCCACACTTCTCTTTACTAGCCAGTATGATGTGATGATGAAGAGCACAGCTTTGGAGTTGGGCTGTGCCCTTAGGCTAGATGCTGAATTTGGGTTCACTTTCCTATCTGTAAAATGGGTACTAATACTATCTGATAGGAGTATGTGGAATAGGACTTCTTAGCATAGTACCTAGCATATACTAAGTACTGGAGACTGTTAATATTGTTCCTCCCTACTCATTCTCACAGGCTTCCAGTATAACTTGATCATTTTTGCATAGTTGATAAATTTGTAGTTCACGACACCTTTTGGGATAAGTTCAGGAAAATTGAAGTTAACAACTTTCACATAGAAATTTGTATGTTTGCAAATATGTCAGTTCATGTTTTTCCATACAAACCCCTACATGTTCCTCACAACCTCAGTCATTCTTCCAGGTCTGTAAGAATAACAATAATCTAAAAGCAACTAGTTAGCTTAGTTAGTAAATTAGCGGATCCCATAGGGTGAGCCAGCAATGGAAGGTGGGGTGTTTGGAGTCACATCTTTGAGAGCTTCTGCCGGGAGGTAGAGGTTTCATCAGGGGAAAGTGTCATCAGAGAGGCAGTTGTAATTCTGGACAGTGAGGTTTATCAGCCCTTCTTCATTGTAATGTTTGCTTTGATCACATGACTTACTTCTGATGATGGATTTGGCTTTCCAGGGGCATTTACCAGGAAATGGGAGCCCTGGAGGGGGAAGGTAGAAA